AAACACACATCATTGTAAAATCAATACATTCATCACTTCGTTCAGAATTTAATATTCAAGTTTGAAAAACTCAAAAATAATGAATTTTTCATACATGAATAATAAGAGATAAAGACTTAAAAATACAATATTAAGTTTTACGTTAGTTGGTTTGAAAAAAAATATATGCTCTGTATGTTAATATATCTTAATCAAATAAACTTAGGCATGTTTAATTATTTTTTCTATATGTTTGTTTGCTGGAATTTTATTATTTCTTATTGTTTTTACTATGTAGAGTAGTGATTTTTCAATCTATTTTAAATTTTGGTGCAGCTTGTGGTTTCTTATGCTTTCTATTGAACTTGATCAAAATCTTCTGATGGATAGCATTATATTTGGATTAAGTTTAGTGTCTAGTAGTTCTAGGTGCATATTTTTTGTTAGATTAGTACCATTCTAGTTCATTTTGGTATGAAATATGTGCCAAAAATTTTAACTGTATTATTTTTATATCCCCTTTCCATAAAACTGAACTTAGATGTGTTTAGCCTGGTATTTTTTGGTCTTATTGTATCCTGGTATGTATCGGTAAAAGAGAATACCACCACATTTTGATAGCACAATACTGTTGTTAAATTTCAATACCATCACCCTATTATTTTTATGCACAATCAGCTTTTTAAAACTTCTYAAGAAACTTCTATGAACCTATTGAAACTATGTATAGTATTATATAAATTGATATTTTTGTTAAAAAATTATTTAACTATAAAATTAAGAAAATACATACTTCTAATTATATACATATTCTACTAAGAATGTTTTTTAGTAAATAAATTTAACACGTCCATTATTTTGACTATAAAAACATTACAAACCAACTATTCAGGAATAATCAAGTTCCTTTCGATTTTTATGTTAAAATCTTTGTTCTAATTAACTGTTTACCTTATTTTGTATTATAATTTAATAAGCTTAATACCAGTTATATCTACTATCAAATTATAACAAAAATATAATACAATTGTATACATCTAACTTATTTTCAAGAGAAGATATTAAGGTAGAATAAATCTATTCAATCTGAAGACAAATATTTCAAAATTTAACTAACACTATTATAAAATAATAATTAGTACACATTGTCAACAAGATTTAAAATAGTTGTAATCATAATATGTAAGTAAAAAATATTCTAATCCTACTGTCTTAAAGTTTTAAAATAAAACCTAATTTTATGATCAAAATCTTTATGAAGTAAGAATAGTTGTTTATATAAACCATTAAACTTTCTAATTACAATTTTTAGGACCCGTTTTACAATCATAGTTTAAACCTCGGTTATGCTTGAACCACTGATTTTACTGACCGAATTCCGTGGTTTAACCGGAGTTCAACTATTGTAATACGGGCCTTTAGAGAGTAAAATTTAAACAATATTTTTTTATTAATTCTCTATCAGGAAAATGTTAACATTGAACAATAGTTGTTTTTTCATTTATTTACTTTTGTATTTTACAAGTTAAATGTTGTCCGCTAATTAATACTAATAAAATTATTTAGAACACTTAAAAAAAAGTGTTTCAAACATAATTTAATCTCAGATTATTTACATTAATCTTAAAAAGTGAATTTATTAGACTGTMTTGTTTAAAGTAMGATCTATAAATAGGATTTGGATACGTCTTAGTTTGCCTAGAACTGTACTGGTTTGGAATATAACATCCCAATGACCCATTAAAGTGTTACACGTTGAAAGGTTTCTTGTTGAAAAACAATTTTGTTTTATAAATAATAAAATAATCTAGTTTTTTAATTGATAGACTAATATAATCTATTTTAAAATTAATTTCTGTTTTCTTGTTCTCCTTGACATCTTTTATCACTTATTGCTTATTGATCATTATGTTCAGTGGCTTTGAAGTCCTAAAAATCTAGTTGGGCAAAAAATATTTCAAGAGGTCCAATTTCTTAATATTGGCAAAAATGGCGTATCGTGAAGAGGAATGTGGTCAATATGAAGTGGCTCTATCCTAAATTTTCATAATAATATGTCAAGCCATGGCCTGATCTTAACATAGGGTTTGGCGCCACTGAATGTATTGGTTATTAATTTCAATTTGTTACATTAAGTAAGTTTTTGCCTTACAAATGTATGTTGAAGATTGTTGACTATTATGTGTGGAGTTCTTTTTATAACAAAAAATACACGGAGAGTTGTACTATTTTCCTTATAGAACTTACATAAAATATTTCTGTCTCAGTTTTATTTAGAATCAACAATGTAAATATATATCAATTCGGCTTAAATTTAAAATAAATAAACTAAATTATCTGTAACAATATACTTAAATTAAATTAAATTTGACCATTAAACATAATACATCAAAGTAGCCAAATTAAATATGTACTGTGAATAGAATTAGGTATTATTGGAACTATATGTTTGAACATTTAACTTGTCACAATTTTAATATCTAATTAACTAAAGCTACAATCATTATTTAGAAACAATCAAATTTTATATTTGCTTAGCTATATTAATGAATTTTTTATTTTCAGATCGGAAAATAAATATTAGAAAAATTATCGCGTACAGAGTTGCGCTGTTGCAACTTAGAATTATTTACATATTATGAAGAAACCGCATTCAAGATTCATCAAAATCTTAACTAAGCTCAATAACTGACAGTCAAACAATCTGAAAAAAAAATGTTTGGGTTATAATTTCCTTACTTAAATGCTTATAACAATCAATCAATGAATAATTTTGTTTGATCATAACTGGGTCACAAAAAACATATTTAATGATGCAATTATGTCAAACTCATGGTCAAATAATCAATTACTTGAATAATGTTTTAGATTTAATAATAAAAAATGTACTCAATAGACCTATAGATATCTGTTTTTAATGTTTTCTTTCTGTTTTAAAAAATTGATTTGTACTGTCTTTTTTAAATTTATGTTTTAGTGGTAATGTTTCCTAACTCATTATGGTCATAATTGATCTCAATATTATTATAATTTATAATTTTTTGCGCTGCCCCTTTGAGGATTAATGTAAATAATACAATAATAATTTTAAGAATTTATTTATACTACTATTATTATTATTATTTTTTTTTTGTTATAGCTCATTTGTTATTAATATTATTGATAATCCATTTATTGATAATAAATGATAAATKATGTTTTGTACAGGGGAACTATGATATAACATATGCTATTAGTATAAAAATACATTCAATTATTTCATATTTTAAAAAGCAAAAAGAAAAATGAGCTCATTTATTGTAATTATACTATAAATAATAAMATTTGTGTGTTTTTTAGTTTGTATTGTACATATTGGTCTTAAAACTTCATTATTATTAGAATATATTATAATGTCATAAATAGCTGTCGTGTAACAGATTTCACCTTTTATTATAATGTATAAACTAAATATTATGGTTTTAAAATAAGGTGTCATGTATATGAACAAATGTCACCACTATATTTGTTCGTGCCAAAACAACAGGCGGTTGTAAATGAGCCGTCACTTAAGATCGTTCTCTTATCAAAACCTTGTTTTCATAATCATTCAATTGACTATTGTTTTGGCACCGACAATGTAATATAAACTAATTTTAAATTATATAACATATTATTTTCATCATCGTCATTATTTTTACTTATATTATTATTATTTTTATAACATTGTACAAAATCACTATACATTATAATATTATATTGATTGTAATTATTATTATTATTGTTTCTTTTTTTTTACTTACAATTATTATACATTAATTACTATGTTGTAGGGTTTTGTCGYGACCTCTGCTTCTAACATATTATTGTATATTCCTTAACGTCATAGCATGTCAATTGTATGTTTTCTCACCTGAACCATAATATAATATAATAATATATTACAAACAATGAATCTTTAATATTATATGTAATATTAAGAATGTTATTTACTCGACGTTAATATTGCTTGTTTATGGTTTTATATTATATATTATTATTATTAAAAAATAATACAATTAAAATATGAATGTTTAAATAAATATACGATACTATGTGTATATAATTACTAGATTGATGTTATTGCTTATATGTTTTTTTTCAATTTATATGCTTTTGCTCTACATCAATATAATTTTTTTTGAATGTAAGGTGTTATTTAAAACAAAAAGCCCTACAGTAAAATTAAAGACTCATCAGTTCATCACTGACTTAACTATGGCCATATGGTAGACGCTAACTATTG